GACCTCGATAAGAAACAACAGGACAGAAACGGCCTCATCCAGCACAGAGGCGGCATCATCCAGCACAGAACGGCCTGGCAAATTCAACAATGTCATCATGCCGGAGATCCTGCAGGATGACACAGCACACAGGAGATTACTTGAGGTTGGGTCAGAATTGATGCTGCAACAACACCTGGATTACAACGGATATCTTACTACCAGTGAGCAAACCAAGCGGAAGAACATCATATCGAATGCTCCGTCGGGTAAATCCTTCAACGACACCTCCAAATACCTGATCGACAAACTCCGTGAGCCTCGCAAAACGGAGCTACTCAGGTTCATTTCCTCAAATTGTGGCCTCCAGAATATCCAACGATGAGATAAGCCGTGAACATGTCAGGGCGCAAAAGAGTTTGTGGTTCACCCTCAGCAGTACAAGAGGTTGTGCATGCAGCGCTGCAACTTCACAACTTTTCATGTTATGTGGTGCAATAAATCCGATCAAGCTGAAATCATTAAGTAGTGTTCTGCACTTTTTGGTAACCTCAATGGTTTTGTTTTCTGTTCGTAGGTTATGGTTCTTCTGCTCTTTCTTTCTTTTTGGCGTAAACCGTATTAGTTAGACCATATATAAAGAATACAGTACGCCATGGAGCCAGACAAGACTGCGCGTGCTGCGCATCCTGCAACCGATGACGATTCCGCATATGTCAAGCAACCGCTCATGGCTATTCAGTCTTGGACGCAACATACAGAACAGGAGTTGAAAGCTTTCAGGTCAGATTTGGATGCTCACAGACAATTTCAGTACAATTCCAATGACCAGCTGCACAACCTGTTCGGACATGTTCATCAAATCACAGTGGACATTCGCAGCGAGATGAAGAGCATGCAAGCCCACCTGCAAGATGTTACTGCCAAAGTGCCTGAGATCGACACAAAGCTCGAACAGCAATCCAGTCTGCTACGACAACTTCTTGCAGACCTTGCCCATTTCAGATCTGGAGAGACGCAGCCCAATGCGATGCAAGTCATTCATGATGATTAGGCCAGCACACCCTGGCAAAGACAGAGACAACATACGACCTCTTCCCTCCAGCGATGCAAAAGAACATTCCGTGTGCATTGTTAAGCCTGTTCTGACTTGCAAGCGGTTGTGCGCGCATCAGATTCAACTTTTTGTGCCTTTCTTTTTTTTGTTTCTTTAGTCGGATCAAGCTGTAGGGTTTTGCTTTGGTTTTAATTCCCAACTACAACGCCATGCTGGGAGAACAGTTCTACTTATGGTTGCGTCAAGCTACAACTGAAGACTTGCAGCGAGCAAGAGATGCTATTCAGCTCGAAATGGAAATGAGAGAAGACCAGTTGCGGATGGAACACGAAAGGCTTTGGAGAGAATTTCCACTCCCCTCACACTTGCCAGCATGAAGGATGTCAACGACTGTGTGGTCACAAATCCAATCATCCGGACAAGGAAATTCAGCATCAAACCTCAGGTCAGCACTATTGCGAACTACACTATCGTGGCCATTGAATGCCAATACTGGCTTGCCCACAGCAAAAGAGGATGCGAAGAATGTTCATGCTTCTCATAGGTGGTTTTATAGGAACCCGCGTTGCGGGATTTTGTGTGTGGGACCTCCGAAATTCCAAGGGTTAAGGTTTACAGTTGTGTGATGTTAAGTTTTCCGCAGGGGGACCATCCCATGGGTGCTGTTGATGGTCCAACGAAGAGGGCTGCACTTATGGCTGATATGGGAGCTGATCACCCCCACGTACCTGCAGAAGGATGTCGTGACAAAGTTTTCATCTCTTCCTACGCTGTACAGTTCCGGATTGTTGTTGCTCCCACTAGTGCCTTGTAGCTATTCTAAAACTAGTCTGGAGATGATGCAAGTGAGCATGCAAGTGAAAGCGCAAGGGTTGCAATGAGCCTGGAGCTTCCTCAGAGCAGAGATTTTCTTGTTAAGGTTTATTCCCAAGATTCCTTTTGGATGATATTCTCCTTGCAATTTTTGCTGCAACTTGGTCCTTGTTCATGCATGATGAGAAAGCCCAAATAAGTCATCTAAGTTCATAACAGGCCAAGACCTCTAACAAACCCCCTTGACAACTGCCTTGAAGCGGATGGGACTACGAGTCCTTCAACTCAACTTTTGTTGGGTTGAGAACCTTTCAAGTGTGTGTGTGTGTCGCCGCTCGCCACGTCTTGAATGTCTCTAACAACAGTGTCCTCAATGAAAGGATCCTTACACTCGGCTTGCGTGCCGCCCTAGCAAAAAGAGCATTATCCCCGGCAATTTCCAAATCGGGCAGCGCCTCCTCTGTGGCGGTTACAGCCAGTAGCAGCTGCCGGGCCTGCGGACATGAAGGCGACAGCAGAGTAAGCAACTCTCTTTGACAGATAGGCTCACAGCACGATCGCAGCGCCTCTTCCACCTCCTCAACTGGGATGCCGGCCTCTTTCAGCGCCTCCTGCTAGGCTGCAACATTTGAGGCCAGCCTTTGATTACGCATCCTAGCTCTTCACATGCTGCCTTCTTGCTGAAGCTGTATCTGGAGCACTCATGAAGGTGACACATCACGTATGGTTGCGAGTATAAACAACACTTGACTATAAGCAGAAAGTGTTGACTTCCAAAACACAAAGCACCTGTTCTATCATCAGCACAGCTCCTATTCCATCATCAAAAACCTAGCCAGTCTGTCATGACGCCATGTCCCACGGATTGCTAGCAATCCAATTTTAAGTTGGGTTGAGGCCAGGCCTGGGGGCAGGAGTTTGGCCTTTGCATTTTTCTTGAGGAAGCAGGGAAAGCCAGGACAGAAAGAGCTCAGGAGGGACCCACCCAGGCGCCCGAGAGCAGTGGTGCAGAGCCATACCTACGGACCCCCTGCCTGTTGCAGAACCTACTAACGCAGCATTAGTGGGCTGGTTCAACTACTACACTTGAGTCTGCCTGCACCTCAGCGATTCTGATTTTAGAGCTCCCGCCGACTACTCATGCCAGGCCGGAGGCCATCTGCAGCAGAACATCATCCATGAACGTCACAGACTTCCATGCTGTGCCGGAAGTACACTAACTCTTAGACTGCACCATCTGCACGAACACGCCTCGCACAGCTGAAACAGCCCAATTGTTTGCCCAAGACACGCAAACCTACTCTAAGCTGCTGCGGAAGCGATTGGCTCATACAGAAAACAACTATGAGTTACTCAGCTCTGGCCTTTTTGAGTAGGTGTTGCGGGACACCAGCTTTCGCCTGAAAGAAGACGTGATGCGAAGTAATGCGAAGCGAGACCTTTAGACGAGGGAGGCCCAGCCTGGAGCTTGGCTGCGCTCTGCACGAAGTGCCGCAATTCTGCGAGCGAAGCACCATTGAGACGGCTGAGTTCCTGGAAGCTCTCAGCACCACGTGATCTTGGTCGCTCAGAAACATAATACATCATCATCACACGAATTTCACTTCAACTTTTCCTGTGCAAAACCACATTCTCGCGGACCGAGATACCAGGTGCAGATGCACTGAGCCCGTCGTCCCGGAAGGCAACTACCATCACGACATGTGGATAAATTGGCTAGGCCAGGGCAAGGATGTCCGCAATGTCTCACAGACTTACAATGGAAGCCTAAATCCTGATAGTTTTTGGACCTGCACGGGCCTCGCGCAGAGACTCAATATCATCTCTGAGCTCAAGGAGCCTGCCATGTCGACTGAAGCACCTTCCACCAAATGGTTCTCTCCACCTCTGTACCAGAGCCCCCTCTGCAAGGCTCGCCGACTCAACCTCGGAAACATTTTGGCTAAGACCTTTCATGAAGCTGCACAGACAGAGAGAGAGAGAGAGAGTGAGTCTGGCTTTTGAATTATTCGAGCAGAGCTCTGCCATGTAGCTGCCCATGCATGAGAAATATCTTTATAGCAAGCTCTCTGAGCGGCGCGCTTAGAAACAAGAAGCCCTGCATCGTAATCGCTGCTCACGAAACAAGCAATGTTCTACCGACGCTTTTGCAGCCGTGGCACAGTGAGGGTTTCATCGAGGTTGGCACCCTCCTGGCAAAATGCTGCACAACTCAGCAATGAGTCCTGCACGCGAACCCCTTCTCAAAGACATCATGCATAAACCTGTGAATGACAATCTTGACAATCACAGAGTACCTCCAAACCAGCCATCAGGGAGCAACTATCCGACAAGCTGACACAATTTTGTGGAGGTAATTCACTGGCTTTTGAATAGAGATTGTGCCCTGGGGGCGTGACATGGAAAGACAAGCTGGTCAACTCAGGCGATCCACGTGTTCTTGCGACATAGGCTTTGCTTGTGTGCTTTCTTCTTGAAATTAACTGGGGACACTCATTTTGGAGTTGCATCTGAGGACTCAAAGGTAACCTTCATTGAAAGGAAGCAGGTGCAGGATGCGGATACCCAATGCTGGCAATGTCTGCAACACACGTTTATAACACTTTGCTGCATGAGCCGCAGGCTTCAAAGGGTAGGGCTGCTGCCAGACGCAACGGTCACCAATACGACGGCCAAAGGTAATGCAGTGCAGTTGCTTCCGCAACCGGATCTGATCCCCCCCTTTGCTGAAACCAAACTAGCCAAAAACTCTATGCTGAAGTCCTCCCTATGAATGCTTGCTAAATCTTGCTAAATGTTGCTAAGCACAATCCATGTTGTTGTCTTGCTGACTCGACATGGTTGTCAGGAACAGGAGCACAGCAAATTACATGTTTGCTGAATGTTCCAGCTTCGGAAACAAGCTTATAGGTTGCAGACCAAATCCCCAAGTGCCGAGCATGGTAGGTTTGGGGGCGAAGGCATGTTGGACTGCATGAGCATACTGTTGCAGCATACCCCTTTTGCGTCAAATCTTGGGGTGCTATGGTCGCTGCATGTCGCTGCGGTCTGAAACTTGTTTCAGTCCCTGACCGGCTGCTACATGCTAAAACACATTTAAAACGTCTGGCATCTCGTGTTGAGCGCACAGAATATGGAATGAAACACGTTGTCACCTCCCTCTGTCAGGTGAGGTCGCTGGCGCATCTTCTAAGATGGGGTCCTTGCATTCTGACACAATAACTAACAGCTCCCGAGCCATACTCCTGTGATGCTGACCCAGACCGCTACTGTAGCTTGTGCCAGGTGGCTCTCAAAAAAACATTTTCCATGGCCCTACTTCCCACCAAACATCATCCGGAACGCTTTTCATTACTCTTGCAGGCTCTCATGTACAAAGGCCTAATCTGCGGCAAGTGACCTAGTCTTACATGACGCCCAAGTCTACAGAAACCAAAACCAGATGGCAATGGAGATTGCGTTGCTGTCTTACATTGTCTTACTCTGGATCTTTCTGGGTCTCTTAGATTGCAGAAAGGATCCGGAAGGCACTTAGGTGATGGAGCTGAAGTCGGTCTGGCGCCAGCACTTACACTCACTGATGGCGGCGCAATAGCTACAGCAGGTACGGCACGGGTGCCGTCGGAATTCAGTCCCATGAATAGCTGTCAGGCTTACCCCAAACTAGCAACTGTCCAGCTTCACGGACAGGAGGATTTGAAGCTGCAGCGGAGGGTCGTCTTCCAGCGGCTCCTCCTCTACCTCCTCCTCCTCCAGCTCCTACCCATTGGGGCAATGTTAAGATTAGATTGGGGTTATATGAAAGTTATATACACTGTATATTGGGGCTATATTGGGACTGTGTTTGCTTTGCAGAACATGTTTGAACCCCACAGTCGCGTTTTGTGTTGAACAAAGGAACACGCCAATATTCTATGGTGTACCCTGCCAGCATTGCAAACCAGACAGAAGACTGCTTGCCCCAGCTGTGTTCAGAACGGATTTGCTGAAATCTTCAGATTTGACGCAATTGTCAAGACTTATTCTTTCCAATACAAACACCATTAGCAGAAAAACTG